TGTATCAAAACAATGACTGATGAAGCATACCATGCTGACACATATATTGATGGAATTGATCATAAAAGTATTCTTTGGCATTATCGTTACATAGGAAACAAACGTAGACATTAAAGTGATTTTTAATTTCAGCAAAAAAAGAAGAAAAAATGAGAAATAACTTCAAAGTGGGATTTCATAAAATATATCCATGTCATTCGCAAAAATTTATCCAAAAAAGTAACATAATACCGAAAACTCACTTTTAACACTACAGGACAAGGACCCCAGACATCAGAGTGAACTAAACCAAAAGGACTACTTGACTGTTTATTTGACCGAGAAACAGACCATAGCCGATGAAGCTTAGAAAACTGACATGACTCACCTTCTAAAGACTTGGCGTAAGAAAACTCGGGATGTAACTGCTTCAGCAGAGAAAGAGAGGGATGGCAAGGTCCGAAATAAACATCAAAGGGAAAACGGGTACTCAAACATGTGATTTGGGACTTAGCCGTGGTAGATATAGGGATATCAAGGCTATAGAGCCCCTCTAACGTGTGTCCACTACCAATAATCTTCTTCATCGCATGGTCCTAAAACAGACAATGATCTGAGAAAAATAGACACAACAGTTTAAGCCACTCGTTAATTTGCTAAGAGAGATCAAATTAAACGCAAGGCTAGGAATATGCAACACAAAATGTAACAGAAGATATAGTGTAGGATTAGCAATCTCAATTCCAATAGTTTCTGCATTCGAACCATCCGCAAGGGTAACAGATGAATTACTAGAATAAATAGAAGACAAAAGGCTCGGGTAACCTATCATATGATCAGTTGCTCCATTTTCAATGACCCACTTGGAAGCAGAGGAAAAGAGGCACTTATTAGTGTTACCTAATCCAACTGCTGCACTAATTGGCAAGGATGAGTTACCCGAATTGTCCTGGGACACAGTGAGTCGAGCATACTCATCTGTAGGAATAGTAACCAACTGGGACCGATTACTTGTGGTAGTCACATTTGCAATATTACTTTTTTTATTCCGATTCTTCAGCTTTTTGCATAACGTTTTAGTATTTCTGGACTCATGACAGTAATGGCAGGTAATTCCTCCACTAGTAGGTATACTCCGAGTATCTTGTGGGTTACCTCTGGATTGACGAAATGATGTGCCATCATGCTGACCCACTAATGCACGAATAAAGGCAGTAGGAGAAGTACCAGTGCTCATACGACTTAAATGTTAGGATACGGAAGATAACTGAGGAACATTTGAAGTCACAAGAACTTGAGATATGACGTTATCAAAGCAAGAGTGTAAGCTAGCCAAAAAACTAATCACTGCCATATGTTCCCTTTGTTGTTGTTGAACTCGCACATCTAGACGAAAGGGCATTAGTATATTTAACTCTTCATAAGTTAAACTGATGAAACACTCTTAAAGTGATTGATCTTGTTGTTTGACTCGATAGAAGCTCTGACAGACATTGTACATGCGAGAGATATTACCTTTCCCTGAGTATATAAATCTAAGATATTCCAACAATTCCTTTACAGTATCCCAATGGGTGATTAACTTCACTATGTCATGTTTAATCGAATTCTTAATTTGAAGAAATAGACATGAATCATCTTGCAACCATTCATCATAGCAAGCATCCGTAATCAAAGGAGTAGCCCTATCCAAATGAATAGCTTTACCAATACTCTGGAGATATATCTTGATCAACTTAAACTAATTAAGATAATTTTACCTATTTAATTCATATTAAATAATTCTAGGAATAATGAGTACTCCATCCATCACAATCTTGTGTTCCTCCTAAATCAGATTTTTTTTTTATCTACAATTATATATAAAAATATTATATATAAACCCAACCAATGGACATGCACCAACAGAATCCCTAAACACAATAAGATAGAGACAAAACCCAAAAGCTCAAACTATGAAGGGCTACCAGAAATACCGGCGGCAGTGGAATGACAAAGGTGGCGGTCGCACAGGCTCAAACAAACCAAAAAGAAAGGAAAAAATCAAATCCCTACCAAATGTGTTTAACCCCACACGCTCTTATGAGAGGTAACGGATGGGCTGCTGCGGCACCGGTGGCGACTCCAACGGAAACTTGAACAACCTCCAAAAACATCCCTAATTGCTAATGAGCTCTGATACCTCTAATTTCTTGGATTGATAACATAACTATGTCCTTTTGCAGCTGTAGGAGGCATCAATAACCGAGAATCAAGAAAGAAGGCAGCGACTCTTATTTTCTAATCAAATATTTAGTTTTTGTTGGCCCTTCTCTTGTATATGTCTTTACCTACTAAAAAAGTAGTAAAATAATAACAGATGCAATTTTAGCAATTATCTTGATCGTGATTGCTTTAATTCACCCCTAATCTTAACCATGCGTGGGATAAGTGATGTGGAATGACATTCGTTGGCTTGGAATGATGGCAAATGAGACTCATTCTTGTAATTCCAACATTTAAACATGACAAAGTATACTTCGTTAGCTCAACGTGTTCTCTTCTATCATCGCCATTGCTTGCATAAATGGATTTCAAATTTTGCATTGATGTGTTGCACTTTTTGGAATACCAAATGGTAGATCCAAAATTATGTTCAGAATGGGATAGTGAGAAGTTTTTTATTTTTTAAATTTCTCAAGTGAACAGTCGATCGGGGGGTGAATGTGGAACCCCTAATGTGTATATATCAAAAATAAAAGGGCAATTTTGTACAAAAAGACCGAACTAAATTGTCAGTTTGACTCTGACAGAAAGAAAAAACCAATATGAGGGGATCTATGAAAAAAAAAAACCATCTATACAGTAAATATAAACAAAAGTTGAAAATCCAAGGGTTGAGACTAACACTACTCTTAAGTAAAACAAAAGGTCCGGAGTACATCTGCATCAACTCAAACAAATCCTTAGAGAAGTCTCGGAAACTCTAAAGATGGGTTGTCGAGAATGTAGAGGAGGTAGGATGAGCAGTTGGTCATATCTAGTATGGCAGGGCTATGATCTTCGAGACTTCTATGCTATACGACTTATTTACAAGGAATTCAACTGCTCTATTACCTTCAAGATGTATGTGGGAAATTCTGCAAGTGATGTGGTTGAAGTGTTGCACATATTGGATGGTGATGAGTTCCAAATTACATTTTGTGAATCCAAATTTCTCCAAAATTGCAAGCCAATGAGACCATATCACACAAAAGTCTTGCACATGCCTAAATATAATGGGTTATCTTGTTAAAACAACTAAATTCTAACAATAAGTTTATACAACTCCACTATCCTATTCAAATAATTCTTAAAAATTACACTCTCCGGAAATAGCACAAGAAATTTGATAGTAGTTTTTTAATATTGCCAATTTAAAGGTAATAAGTGGTTCAAATGGTAGGGTTTTTTTCTTTTTTTTTACTTAAATTGTAATATCTTATATTATAAGAAGGATCTCAAATATATAATTACATACTAACAAAGAAAAGTTCTCAAGGTGGCTTGTAAGCCCAAAACTATAACAAAAATGGGCCAACAATCCTAGCCCGCAAAGAGGTGGCTTAATGAGCTTTTCGATGAATGGGTCACCGTGAGAAGAGATAGGGCCTTAAAAGGAAAGGTCCAAATAAACCTTTCGCTATGAGGCTTCAAGAGTCTTTGGGCTAGCCCAAGCAAAACCTTGTTCTTCCAAGGGTTTTGGGCCCGAATAGAAGGCCCATCTATATTCTAATCATTTACACAATCCTAAACTCATTTCATCAGCCCAAGAAATGTCTAGCACCAAGAGTGGGTACTCGTTCTCCAAATACAATCATATAAGGCATAATAAATAATAATTATACTTCTTAAACATATGTCGTGTTATAGCCCAAAATGCACCACATATAAAAATTTTGATGTGTAACCAATGAGTCCTAAGGAAAACTTAGGAAAATTTATTATCGAGGAAAATTCAATCAAAATTGCATGTGAGTTTTTGAATCAAAAAATTAAAATGGCAATGAATTAAACCTAAATTACACTAAGGAAAGTAAATGCAAAAAGCAAAATATTGGTGAGGGAATGTTCGCGAAAATAGGAACGAGTGCATGAGAATGATGTCATGTGAAGGTGATCGTATAATTAGTTTTCCAATTTTCAAACTACCTTTTGATTGTAATGATTGTTTATCTATATTAATTGGGCATCAACACCTATTTATATGTTCCAAAAAAGCTTCTACAAGGATCTATTGATAGTTAACATCCAATTGATAGTTAAATCACAATCATCCATTCCAAAAGTATCAAGGGGTGATATTCTGCCAATGCCGACTTGGATTTGCGGCCTCTGAAGGGTAAGTAAATCTAGAGTTTTTGTTGATTTTCGCATACTAGTACTCGACTCTAGCAGAGTTTGTGAGTCACAAACTTTTTACATTGCAACTCTGCGACTTGAGAACATAATTTTGCCTTTTCTGGTTAGCTTCCAAAAAGCCGCGATTTGGTCCAACTTGCCATCAAAAACTCTTAAGAATACCCAAATATACCAAATGATAAAAAAATGAGCCATTAACATAATTTCTAGGAACATCAACAAGTTTAGCACAAAAATTCATTGAAAATCAATGGATATCCTCATGAAAACAACTAGGTGAACATGTTCAAATTCATGTTATCAATAGAATTTATAATATCGATAGAAGATAGTAAAATAAAGTAAGAAAATAAAAAAATAAATATTTTTCTTTATTAAAAATATTAGAACAACGTATACTACCGATTTGATTGTAATTACATACATATTATGAAAATGTTGTGTATCTTATACATCCCGACTACATATTGTCAAAATTATATAATATGATATTATAACTTACCAATAAAAATTATAAGTAATATATTAAAGAAAATAAAGTATATAATTTGATATTATAAATGAAAATAATCATGCATTATAAATAGAGGTGTCATCTAATCAGTCATTCATCACTACCTCAAGAAAATATTTCAATCATTATGGCCTGCTATACTTATGAAAATATTGTTACTTCTAAGATTTCACCGGATAGATTGTTTAAGGCATTCTTCATGGACGGTATGCGCCTTATGAAGGAGGTTGTGCCAGATAAGATTAAAGGCTGCCAATTCATCAATGGAAGGGGTGAACCGGGATCTGTATATCTACTACATCTTAATGAAGGTAATTAAATCAAATAAATGAATATATGTAAGTGTTTTTCTTTTTTTCTTTATCATTGAATCTAAAAAAATAAAAATAAAAATAAAAATAAATTTAAGATATTTGCGTTTGAAACTAAGGTCGAACATGTCACATTTAAATTATTGCAATTGGAAAGAACTTTAGTGTACATTTAATTGTGTATTGTTTTGTGACGTTTTTCAGTTGAATATAGTTTCTAAATATTTTATTTTAAATTTAACATGTGTGTTGAAGATGATATTTTTTGGGAAAAAAAATACGCATTAAATATTAAAAAATTATGTTTAAATTACAAGTAATCAAACATTTAGTTAGTAATAAATTTTTGAAAGTTTTTATTTTGAATTTAAATTTGTGTGCTACAATATATTATGGGTTGTGTTTTTCATAGATTGAGTAATGCTGAAACTAACCCTACACCCCAGATTTATATACAAAAGCATAATAGTGTATATATATATAGTGGATATTATCGATGTATGATGGTACAGGTAATCATTCCAAGACATTAAAGGTGAGGGTGGACTCTTTTGACAAGGAGAATATGATACATAAAGCAACGCTACTTGGAGGGGAAGGCTTTGCAGACCTTTACGAGTCCATGTCGAGGGAGACAAAGATAGAGGCAAAGCCAGACAATGAAGGATCTGTGGTTAAGATCATCACCACATGCCACACCAAGCGTGAAGTAACATCGGAAGAGAAACTTAAGCAGCATGAAGTTGGCATGAAGAGAGCTGTGGCGATGGTCCAGGCTGTTGAGACTTATCTCCTCCCTAACCCTGATGATCATACAACCTGATCATATGATGATGTTACTAGCTGTGATGGAATAAGTTTTTACAATAAATATTGAATAATAAGTGAGAGGCATGGCAAAAAATAAATTTTAGTTATGATGTTGCAAGCAATTTTAGTCATTTTTTGTGTTATATGTCGATTTATTATTATTATTATTATTATTATTATTAACAAATGAATATAATGTCTTTTCTATTTTGGCATATGAAACAAATTTGCAATTTGTTGTCAACCACAGAAAACAACATCGAAGAGATAATCTGCAGAGAGTGTGACAGATGCCTTGTTTTGCCTTGCTCACAATCAATAAAAGGCATATGCTAGAAGTCAAATTTTGATTGTAACATGAAGCCTCAAATGTTGGAATGTCAAACCATGATTCAAAATATCTGAAGGATATACAATGACCTAGATTCAGATGACCAAACTAAGAACAAAAATATTGTGTTGACTTTGTTTAGTATAGGATATTGTGAGATTGCAATTGAATTTAATTGAGAAAAACAATTGTATTTTCTATCATATATTCTTAATACCTCCTTGAATAGGAGGTATTTTCAAGACTCTATGGAGTCATGAAACCATCAGAAGAAAGAGGAAATGGAGGTTCATCCGGAAAAGATAATCAACCTATTAGCACACATACTCTTAACTAGATACGTTATTCTTTGGTGTCATAATACTACAAAAGAAAAATCATAAATTATGACGGAATTCTGCAAAGGTTTGCATTTCATTGTGATGTTTTAACGAAGATTGCAAAGCTAAATACAATCCTTTGTAATTAATAATTTTTGCAATGTAATACTGGAACATATTTAAGAAGTTTCAATTTAACAACAAAATTTACAAGAGAATATGTTCCATTATGTTGCAATACAAATTGACATAATTCAGCGACCGTTCTTCCAAAAAACTATATGTGGTTGCAAAATTTATTGATTTTTTGGAATCAATTCATGAAGTGTGAATTATTTCTTTTTCGATGTAAGATTCTGATTTAATTAATTAATAATATGATTGTGGAATCGGAAATTTCTAATATTCCAAAGCAATTTGCTTTCGAAGCAAAATTTATTTTTATTGGAAACTTGGTAATAATGCTTTTTGCATATTGATAGTGAAATTCAAGTGTTTGAAGTTGTTAAAGTAACTTCTCTTATATGAATTTTTTTACTTGATAACGTAAGTATTTTAGATGTGTATTTTAATTCATGTAATATTCTTTGGCCCAAAGGTTGTTAGTATTTGAAAGAATAAAATATACATCTGTGATAATATGTATTGCACGATTATACGGATTTAACTTATGTAAATAGTAAATCAGTCCAAAGAGTGATTTATTATTTGACATTATTTATTATCCGTACATGATTATTGCAACAAAATGATTGCTAGCAATTAGTATTAGTAATCCAAAGATTAATCATTAATGTTGCATTTAGTGTCTTGAGATGAGATTGCATTATTTATTTTGAGTTTCATTATGCAATGTGAGTACTTATGTTTATATTTATTCACTTTTTTATTCAGGATCAAATGATATAGTATCTCTTAACTATCTGATCTCAATATTGTCCGAGGACAACTTTTAGCACTGGAAAAAATTAATATTAATTCATTTGGGTTGTATGGATCTTGACTTGACATTTAAGGATAGACCAACTCACACATCCTATGATAGAAAACATTACAGTTTAGTAGTTGTTTGAGAAGGGAGATAAGTCTAATCGCGTAAGTATGATGATCATTAGCAAAAGCATTTTATAAATCTATCAGGGTACAATATATGATGATATTACTACTGCCAATGAGTTCCTTGTCGAAATTCGAAAGCATTTTACCCAAAATGATAAGACGAAAATGAGTACTATTTTCAAGAGTCCATTACCATGAGGTATAATGACAGAGAGAACATAAGGGAGTGTATCATGAACATGTCTAATATTGCTTCTAGATTGAGAGGACTTAAGTTAGACCTTTTGGGGGACATGTTAATCCTATTGGTTTGGCTCTCATTTCCTACTCGATACGATACATTCAAAGTTAGTTATAACTGTCGAAAGGAGAAGTAGACTCTTAGTGAGCTCATCTCTCACTGTGTGAGGAAGAAGAAATGATGAAGTGTAACAATATTGAAGAGATACATATGGTTGGCACCTCAAATGATGTAGGTGACAATAAGAGAAAACATAAGGCCATAATGTTGAGATTGCTAAGGCTCATGTTCTAGCTCCAAAGAAGACTTGCTTCTTTTGTAAGAAAACTGGAGATGAGAAGAAGAATTATGTTAAGTTTCACGAATGGCGCATGAATGAGGTTGTTTTTCTTACTTTGGTTTGTTCTAAGGTTAATTTAGCTTCAGTACCTCGACACACTTGGTAGTTAGACTCTGGATCAACTACTAACATCAATGTTTCAATGCATAGTTGTTTGAGCTACCAAAACTCAACTAATGCTTAAATATGTATTTACTTTGGAATTGAAGATTTAGTAGATGTGAAACCCGTTGGCATTTTCAAGTTGTTATTGAGTACTGGACACTTTCTTGAATTGCGAGACATTTTTATTGTGTTGCCGTTTTAGATGGAATTTGGTTTTTGTTTATTATTTGAAAAAATCTGGTTATCATTGTTCCTTTGAAAATAATAAAGTTGAGTTGTCCTTAAATTATGTTTGGTTGGTTTTGTTACTTTTATAGTGAATTACAATTTATATATGCTCAACATTCTAGCTTCATATAATGAGGCCCTAAATGTGGAATCAAAAAGTACTAAGCAAAAATTACATGACTCTAGTTTATTGTGGCACAAGCATTTAGTTCATATTTCAAGAAACAGAGTTGGAAGACTCATTAAGGATGAAATCATTGATTCCATAAATTTTTTAGACTTTGATGTTTGTGTCAATTGCATTAAGGGTAAATAAACCAAGGTTAAAAGAATAGATGCTTATTGAGCTACGAATGTCTTGGAATTGATGCACATAGAAATTTGTGGGACTTTTCCCACTCCTTCGTGGAATGGTCAACATTATTTTTTATCATTCATAGAGGATTATTCTCGATATGGTTATTTGTATCTTATTAAGGAAAAATATGAGGCATTATACATGGTTAAAACGTTTAAGGTTGATATTAAAAATCAACTCAGCAAACACATTAAGACTGTTAGATCAGACCATGGAGGGGAATATTACAACAGAAATAATGGATTGGGTGGGTAACGGATGTCTTGATAATCAACTCAGCGTATATTTTTTAAGGAATTTTAAGGAAACAAATAAAGATAACTTTTTTCATACATATGTTCCTATATCTCGAATAACTTCAATTAGGGCACTTTCGTAATTGTTGCATTACAAAATCTTGAGATTCACTGAATAATTGTCAATTTTTGACCTAAAAGAAATGATTTATAAGAAATATTATAGTACCTAGAGAAGAAAACAAGGTTTGAAAAATTATTACGTCCTTGTACGGTCTAAAATAATCGCAAAAGAAATGGCACTTGAAATTTGATGGAACTTCTAATTATGTGAGTTTATCTCTACATAGATGATATAATGATCATGAGTGGTGATCAATGTTTGGACAACAGAAATATTGTATGGAAACTTCGATAAAAAAATATTTTGGTATGGCTTATGTAATCCTTGAGATTAAAAAAAAATAGGAATATTGAGAGAAATTTTTTAATACAATCTAACTATGTGATAAAACTATTGAAGAGGTTCAATACAATGGTCTGGCCAAAACACCACTCGACCTTAGTGTGAAATTTAATAAAAACAAGGGAGACTGCATTACTCAAGAAGTATATGCAAGGATCTTAGAGAGAATCATATTTTTTTAAAAATTCATATATGCTCTAGTCTTGCATACTCGGTTAACAAAATTAGTAGATATATACCAAATTAAAATAAGGAACATTGCTATTATAAGGATTTTGAGATACTTGAGGTATACTAAAAACTAAGAACTATGATTTTTGTAATATCTTGTAGTGATCAAAAGATATTTTAATGTCGATTGGATATCAAAACATAGTGATTCATTTTCATGAATGGATATGTTGATGATAAGCGAAGATAATATGTCAAAGAAATTTACAAAGAAAGCTAGCGTGCATAGTTTGATCTTTACTAGATTCAAAATTATTGGTTTGGTAAATTGGTGAGAAAGATGAATGGCTTCAACAATTTTTAAAAGTGATTTCGTGTTGGAAAAATACAGCCTAGATTAACGATTCAATATGATAGTCAAATGGTGATTGGAATAGTACATAATGTAATGTGCAATATTAAGTAACTAAATATTCATAATTATCAACATAACAACATGCTAGAATTGACCTTAAAAAGAGTTAATCTATTTAGACTCTATAAGGTCTGAAGATAACATAGCATATTTGATGACCAATCAGTTAAACTAAGATTGATTTTATAAGTTTCTTGGAGAATTGGATTGAAATCCACACCAGAATGAATGTATTGGATACCTAAGCTAGATGAATGGAAATCCCATGACTAAGTTCAATTGAAATACCAAGCTACACAAGTTTTTATTGTAACACTTATCAAATGTGTCTTCTATCTTTCCTCGAGTTGGAAATGGCAGACAACAATTGTTGATATACTTGTATATGGTGTATGCCAATCCTTTTATCTTTCAGTAACTCATAATAATTTAATGGTAAAGTATAGCATGATGCTCAAAGAAGGTCACCTATATAAGTTTAAAGTTGTCTCATTATACATTGTCCCAAAATAGGTTTAAAGCCATAAGCTACATTACTCTATGTGATAACAACATTTTGACTAGAGATGTATTGTTGCATTCCATTTGATCAACCTATTTCGACTTATGTGGGGGATTGTAGGAATTCCTTTTAACAAAATTCTATTTAGACTAATATTTAATTTAAGATAACTACATAGTGTGTCAAATTGGGGGTGCAATAATAAGTTATTAACTTCACAAATTTTAATTCCAATTAGTTA